GCACTAGAAAAACTCGATATTGACTATTCTATGTAGTTTCATCGCGTGTTTTAAATGGTGAAAACCGCAGATCGCTATCTAATTCCCATAAAAAAGTATTCGAAAAATACTTAACCTTCTTTTATTTTGAAATGGATAATAGGTATTCTGACAGCTGTAGAAGAGCCCAATAATCCTGATCTGTTTCAGAAGTATTCTTCATTCTTTTTTATGGTTCTTCAAAACAATCACTTTTCACTTGCACAACAAGTCTCAAAGCATATCCGATGTGTTTAAATAAGCATAAATTACCTTACAAAAGATTTTATCTTTTTAATATTCTCAAGGAACGGGTTAAATGGTTTGAAGAAGTTTACTTCTCTCAGAAAAAAACATAAATAACTAGTAACTGTTGCACATAATAAAACTCGTTAAAACAATTACGCCTAAAAATTCGTGAATTTCGAGTTATTAACGCATAAAAATGCGTAAATCTGGGGAAAAAATCTACATATTTTAACGCTTGAATGTTGTAACGCATTAAAACACGTTAAAAATTCGTTAAAACGCCGTTTTAATGAACACCTATCATAAATACGCCGTTTTTACGAAATTTTAACGCGTTTTAACACGTTTTTTCAAGAGGCTTGTCTGACTGGGCAGCTTATCTATTTCCATCAATTGATAATTATTCTATTGAGACATTAAAACGAATGATTTTACCATTTGATTATCATTATAATAAGTTATTTACTTATTTATTTATATTTAAATGAAATAAATTTTTAACAAAAATTTATTTATAGAAAATTATTCAAATGATAATAAACAAAATGAGAATTTGTCAGCAATCTCAATTGATTCTCAACAAGATTTATAAGAAACAAAAAAATCAAATTTGTTATTCTTTATTTTTTTTGCTTTTCATCAAATTGATTGAAAGTTTTTTTTTTTCAAAAAGATATATTTTTATTGTTGATGGAGTTGTTTTTGTGTACTCAAAAAGTTCCTAGACTCTAGAATCGGTTAGTGTGTCCGTCCGGTCGCTTACACAATAACTCTTCAAAGACTCATCCGATTCCGATGAAATTTTCTACACAATTTTCTCTTAACAATGTCTCGGTCGAGAGAAGAATATGAGACTCTAAATATTGAACTAGAGATAATGATGGAATTGTGGAAAGTATTTTTGATGTTGATATATTGATCAATCGACCATTATTTCTAATAATTTCTGAATTGAAATAAAGTCGATTTGACGTCAATGATTTTATAGAAACGATCGAATCATATATACGTATATAATGTGTAGTGTCTGTCTGTCTATGACAGATCAAAGATCAGAAGATTAAAGGTAAAATAAGACTATAAGGGGAAGTCCCCAAAGACTACAATATAGGGACTCATAGGTCATCAAGGACTGTTCTATGGAATATCCACCCATAGGTCTTGAAGGGAATGAGACAATAAGAGGATAAGGCTACAAGAGGTACAAGGGTGTAAGACTATTAGGGTGAAGGCTACATGTACTATAAAAATATGAGCGATATAACAATATGAGGCCGTAGGGCTATCTATATACATATTATCGAGTGTCTGTGTGTGTGCTACCGGATGAAAAGTTAAATGTCTGAGATTATACGTTAAGGGGACCCCCCCCCCCCTTTCCGGAGTTTTTAAGAAACGGCTGAACGAAAATTCCTGAAACTTGCAGGGTAGATAGACCTCGAGTAGTAGAGCAAAAGTTGTCATAGACACAAATTTGCCAGACGTCATCTTCATGGACTTCCAGAGACCCCAAGGTCAAAAACTTGCAAAAAGTTTTCCCCCCCGCAAATCCACAAATTTCATCCGTTTGAGCTGAAATTTTTGCTGTGGGTAGACGGACCCAATCGGGGTGGGTGTTTTTTTTTTTTTTCCAAAATTCCAAATACTTCAGGCTGGAGAACCAAAATACTGAGCACCTTGCAAAATCTCTAGGTTTTTTGGATCCTAAAAATTTTGCGAAGCCTGCCAAACTTGATTGGTAGAAGGTATCCAAAAAAAAAAAAAAACGCCCAACCCAAATCACTTGAAGTCTCACCAAAACAATTTTCAGCCCGATCGGACTTGAAATGGCGGAGAAAAAGGGGGAAAACTTCATTTTTTTGCTGAAAAAACTGATTTTGAGAAAAACGCAAAGAAATTTGTGTTTTTTTGGTTTTTTCAGCATATTTTGTGATTTTTTTCGAATTTTTTATATATAAGATGTGGTTTTTCGGTTCTCAAAATGTACTCAATGGATAGAGGGCATTCAAATCTATATACTAATCACAAAAAATGAAAAATGTGAAAATTTTGAGTCGGGAAAGGGGGGGGGTCCCCTTAAAGGAGAAAACAGCCGTGCAGAATGCACGGGCTCACGCTAGTTTAAAACTAATGTTTAGTATATCATTTGATGAAGAATTGAACAGACTGCAAGATAAGATGTTATTGATTTTCTGACCATCACGACTTATGACATGTACATTTCATCGAAATAGTGAAAATAAATAAATAAATTTTGTCTAACATCCAAAAGTACAGTATGTCTAGTTTTTCTCTTCTACACCAAAATTACAAAGAAATGTCATATATACAGTCTTCTAGAGCAATTCAAGTTCTATCAATTAATATATAAGCCGAGTTGAAGAGAAAAAAAATTTGAAAAAAACACAGAAAAGTTGAATTTCTAGCACTTTTTAAATGTATTTTTAAACATTTCTCAGGTCGGTTCATCCAAGCATATCACAGATAAATCTTTAGACTATAATATTTTAGATTCATATATGATACACACTAGACTTAGCTTCCTATATAGTCAAATTCAAAATCTACCGATCCACATGTTTTCTGATATCTGAACATCCTTGGTTTTCTCATGACGTGTCTCTTAAAAAAATTAAACGCTATTATTCATGATATATGAATCTTGCTATTTATAATTATATCTTTAAAATGACTGATTAGTTGTCAACGATTAAGTATTTGTATGCTCAGTAAAACTTGTGCATGACTTAACAATCAAGCAAATCTTGTTGAACAATTAAATGAATACTCATTTTCTTCAGAGGATATACTATACTCATTCTCAATCAGCATGTTAATGAAAAATAGACAGACAAAAGAAATAGATGATTTTTTTCTTCCTAGAATTTACCGTGACGGTCTAAGGAACACCGTACTATTGGTTATGTTACAAGTAGACAGATAGATCGACACAGGTCATTTCGCATTTCTAGACTTTATCTTTACAGTCCACGCAACATGAATATTTAAAATAGTTTTTGAGAGTAAAAGCAAGCTGCTTTATTTAGTTTATATATCTTCTAATAACATTCAATTAGATCGACAACTGTAATTCTAGGTAAATTGTTCTTCTCTCTTGCAAAATAACTTTTTTCTTATTCACATAACTCATATGTTATCTCTTTCAAAGATATAATAACATTTTCTTTTTCCTATAAAATATCAAACAACATTATTTTCTTCATATTTCAAATTTTATTCAAGTAATAAATAACAATAATCAGCAGATTTTTGCATGAGGAAAATAGTCTTTTAAATCTCGAGATAATTCTGGTTCATTGTATAAAAATAGACATTTGATTTTAGAACAATTGATTCGTGTAGCATCACTTGTAAAATTGTCTGTTACTCTTTGTAAAGTATTATAATCCACACGAAGATCAAAATCATTTAATAAACACACTTTAGTATTATTCAAAAATTGTTCGACATAATTTTCATGAGTTTGAACAAGATCAAGTCTAATAAGATGAGGATATTCAATGATTGACCATTGTTGATTGTCATTCTTTTGTGGTTCTCGATTATGTAAACGTAATTCCTCGATACATGGAAATGATTTAGCAATTTTAAGAAAAAATTCACGTTCAAAAGGACGTTCATCAAATAATGATATTACATAAACACGTTTAAATAATCCATCATGAAAATTGTTCGTTATATTATCATAATAACTCCATGTATATGGATATGAATAAATATGACAATGAAATTCATTTGCTTTTGGAAAATAATCAATACATGAAATAATTTGATTGTTTTTTAAATTTTTAAATGTATTTTGAATATATTCATGTGATGGTAAATAAACTTGATTATTGAGAGAAATGACTGAACGAATATTAAATTTAAATTTCTTTAATTTTCTCATATAATTCATAATATTCATTTTCAAATCATTACCATCAATAATTGGTGTATTATGATTGACAAAATATAAACTGAGTTCTTCTAAATTTGACATTCGATGTAAAAGTGGAATAAGAAAAGTATTGTAGACCAATAACACCGATTTATGTCTTAACAGAAAGCATTTTAAATTGGAAAGTTTTTTCTACAAACCAAAACGACAGTTAATCAATATAATTATTATTCATTCATTCAAAAGATATTAATATCGTTTACTTACTTGATTATTAATCAATGGCAATGATGGAACATCAGATGAACAAATGGTAACATTGAACTCATTAAGTTGATTGAAACGACCATCAAGTAAATAGAGACAATCTTCGTAAGAATCGACGACAACACGCAAATATAATAGAATCGAAGAGAAAATATTTGGAGGTGATACACCAAATGCTAATTGATTATAATCACAAGTACTAAATGGATCCATATTTAAACATTGTAAATTATTAAACATAGCAAAGATTTGTGTAAATAGAAATATATTTATATCTTTGATTGAACTTCTTGGTTCTTCACGTTCATTAATATAAATAAGAAGTGATGATAGTTGATTTTCGAAAATATGAATAAAATAACTTGTATCTAAATAAATAATGAATATTTCTATGAAAGAATTTTGTTGATTAATTTAAAATGTTCAATTCTCTTTTCCTTATTAATAAATCAATAATAAATGATCTTCATTTAAAATTCTCTAATAGAATATATATACTATCGTCAATGATGTGTTTTTTTTTAATCTTAATCATTTATTTTATACTACAGATTTTCTCTCTTTTTAAGAATCAAAAAATTTTAATTGAAGACATTATAAAATAACATTTGAATTTTCTTATAAGTGATGTCTTTCGTTTTAAGGAGCAAAAAGCGAAATTGCGCACTGCGAAGTATAGCTGAAAATACAGTGAAGTACGACTAAAGTAAACTTCAATCGTATTTCACTATACTTTATCTGTATTTCGGAGCGTGATGTCCCACTTTTTTCCCTCTTGTTTTATTTTAAATTTTTTTAAAATTCATCGATAAATATTAAGAAGTTTTTTATAAAAAAATATCTTTCTTAAATCAAATATGGATCATATAAAGATAAATTATTTTAATATTCTCATATAATTAATCATTAAAAGAGTTAGAAAAAATATCTTACTAGTAAAGAGATCTCTTGCTGTTTCTAATGCAACATTGTATAAACCCAGTCCAGTTAAATTAGGATAAATTGTTGAAAGAAAAATACGATCCATAAATGTTGAGTCAACACTGAGCCATTGAATTTTATAACCAATTATAGGTAAAATTTTATCACAAAATCGATGAAGCATTCATTAGTAAATTGTTTTAAATCATTACGACATGGTACCATTGCTAAATAACTTGTAAAAATTGAATCTTGAGCAATAGTATGAAGTCGTTCATTAACACCTATTAAAGAATAGAGTACCTGATAATTTGGCAATTTTTTCAAAATAATTGTAAGAATTTCATCAGGTAAATCATCCAATTGAATAAATGAATCTTCCATGTTTATTTTCACGTATGTTTTTTTGTTATGGCTTTGCTTTTACATATATATAGGCGTTAAAGAGACTGAAAAAAAACATCAGACGAATTGACAATGAATATAAATGAATAAATCGTCTATAACAAAGATGATTTAAGTCAGAATAGACCAATCACGTTGATTAATTCGTTTTATTTTTTTTGTTCAGTCTGTTAGGGACCATTACTCATGTCTTTTAGTTGACTGATGTCGTCAATGAAAACAATTATATATTTTTGTATAATCTAAGTTGATGATGAATTAATCGAATGATATTTTTTTTTCTCTCTCTTTCTATTCAACATTTTGTGTAATATGTGTCGATAAAAATAATTAATAAATCTTTTTACTTTTTATAATGTGTAAAATGTAAAATTCTTGTATTTTAAATGTCAATTAGATATTTCGAAAGAGGAAATTGAGTTGTTTTCTCAATTTAAGATTTCATCTGATGACAATTCCTGTAAAAAAAAAAGTCTCTAAATGATATCTATTCATTGTAAGATTGGTATTTCATTAGTTTAATAAAGATGTTGTTATGATTGCCATGATTCTTTAATTTATTTTATGAAAAGAACATATTCAAAAGAATATTACTTAGCTATCAAAAGTGAATATATGAGAAGAATATATGAATGTTTTGTAACTCAAACCGTAGAGATAGATGATGAAAATGTGTGAGAAGATAGTCATTTTTTGTCAATAATTATGTTTTAGATGAAATCTAAGACAATGGAAGTTCAAGTAGATGTTGATAGAATTATAAATTCACAGTTTTTCAATATAATATAGTAGCAGAATCATGAAATTACATTATCAAAAGCACAATAATTAGATGAGCAAAAGACAATTTCTATTAGAACTGTATGTGAAAAATGAAAAGAAAAATAGTTTCTGAGTTTGAATACTACGAATACTGATATAAAAGAAAGACAAATAACAAGATCCAAAAGAATGTTATTCAACTAATTACTAAAAATTTGTTTTAAGATCATGTATATAATAAATCCTTTTGTGAACTTTTTTTTTCTTACATAGAAATATGTTTCAACAACTACAGACAGTTGTTGGTATATATTGTATATGGTATTGGCTTTATTTGTCTATGTGTCTTTTTTTTTTCTATGTGTATGTTTCCGAATATAATTTATATTGATCATTGATTAGATAAACCTTGAAGAGGATATTCTTTTAGATTCAATACGATTTACCTTTTGTCAAATGTAATGTATATTTCTACGTCAGAGAATAACATCAACAAGGATTTTATTTTAAGCGTATTTTATTAGATAAGCAAATTTATTTTTTTTTTACAATCATTTTTTGTCAAATAAAACAAAATATTCACAGAGAAAATTATAAATCGATGATGATCATAGAACTTATATGAGATTAAAGTTCAGTAATATTCACTGACACAACATGGACAGTTTCACGTTTAACACAACCAGATTGAATGAAAAATTGACAGTGTTGTTCGTATGTTTTTCCAATAGTTTATTTCATTTGTTCATTGTTCTTCTGTTTCCAAATCAGAGTGATTGCTATTCAATAATGTACATGAAAGACGATCTTTATTCTCATGTAAACATCTACATGAAAAAGTTTTTTAATTGATACAACTATTATGAAAACTTCGAGAACAATGACGATAGTGATAATAAGACAATCATAGGCAATCAATCATACTAAGAAGTTTATAAGAAATAATCATTACCATATGGATATTTTCATATCTGGTAGAAATATTTTCGAATAACTTCACAAACCAAAAATCGTCTTGAGATCAAATCTTGTCTATAATAATATATTAGAATAAGAAATGATAAAATCTCGAATGTTTGTTAAAATAAATCAATACATTAGAATAATGTCAGACATTATTTAACTTATACATTTTTACTAGAAATATATATAATGTCAAGCGTAAAAGTATAGAATAATTTCTTCTATATAGAATTATTCATATCTTTTTTCAAATTGAAAATATTAAAAATAAAAAATAACATATGTTTATAACTTAAAGTGATGAGAATTCTTTTTGCACCAAGGATATATATTAAGCAATAAGAAAATGAGAAAGATAAAGAAAGAAATAGTATCTATCAATAAATCGTTGTTTGATATTTTTTTTTTTTACTTTTTATCAACATCAAGTCTGTCGAAAAAAACTATAACAATAGTTTTTGCATCGAGATCATCTTTTGGATTTATTATACCATTAACTAAATAGTTAATTCATTCAAATCAATATGTTCATCACCCATAACATCATACCTAAGTTAATTATCTAATTAGATTTTGATGTAAGATTGATCGTTAATAACAATTCACAAAGATTCAGTGTACGATCGTACAAACATAGCAAACATATGAGTTCAATTGATAAAAAATAACTTACGAGGGAACATCCCCAAGTGTGAGTCTCACTTTTGAATGGGATGTA